GATTCTCAGCAATATCTTATCAGTGTTAAGTTTGCAGTGCCAAGGGCATTCCATCTTCCACCATAGGTCATTGTAAACCTTTGCATTTTCAACATTGTTTTCAGCATCAGCTGGAGTAATTATTGAATAAGTGGCCACAGGTTCACCTATTTCCAGACATCTTTGGTATCTATTCATCTTGATCTTTAGAGTCGGAGTTGTTGTCCTGTGTCACATTGGTTTAGCATAGATTTGCCTGTAGTTTGTAGAGGTTTTATCTGCTTCATGTAATGGTATTCTGTCCTCACACATCAGCATTACTAGCTATGACGGACATAATGATTGACAACCTTTGTGAAATGGATCGGGAAACTTTATCTATCACTAGTTTTTAGTATCAGGATAAATTTGGAGACAGTGTGGGCCCAGTTGCCTGAGGCACTTCAGCTCAATGTGTGGAGTAGTATTCCACATTAAACATGCCAGAATTTGTAGATCAAGACAGAACTGGTAAGAGTTCCGCCCGTAACCCCTGCTTGAAGGGTATTCTATTTGTTATGATTATTTGGGTTGTTCCTCTTTTGCCAGTCGTTATTGTTATGGGATTATAATCACCAGACCATATTAATTAGCAAGACAATGGGGGAATTACAGGGGATTACCACCAAGGATTACCAAGCCAAGAAAGACACAACTGATTTGGACTATCATTTGTATTGTTTATGTTCAGCACTACGTAACTGCTTACATATACAAATTGACAAATTACTTATCACAATTATCATTTATATCAATAACATACATAAATGTATAGATTTAGCAATATGTTAGGTTTAGGGTTAGGTTTGGGGTTAGGGTTTGGGTAAGCTTTCTAAAAAAAACCATCTATTCTTAGGCAATGGATGATAAAAAAATGGGGTTACAGGCAGAAATCTTTCATGAGAACCTAGGCCTGTCATCACAATACTTTTTACGTGGATTTCTAAAATGGGATTATCATTGACTATCTGCTCCACTTTGTGCTTGTTTCTAGTTTTAAGCTGACAAGAAATGGTGAAATATTGTCCTCAATCCCTATTTACAACATCTGCAGTCATATTATAATCATAACTCGCTATTTTGCAATGACTTCAGATATTCTCTGAAGAAAAAGTCTCTACTGGACAATTATCTCTTTCCTTTTATCAATTTCTTTTTCACTTCCATCATGTTCTTACAGCAGTTGTAGACATTTTATGTCTTTAATATCTCCTCTCTGATGGATCCTGCACTATAAAAAAACACTGGATGAATAGAAGAACAATAATTTGTGTCTTAGAAAATGAGCTTTAGAGTAAAAAATACAATTAAAGATGATGAATTGTTCCTTATGGAGACAAATCCTGATTTACAGTAGTGTTTTAACCCTACTAATACAGGAGTCTATTACTGTCCATCATACTTAACCAGACAACGAAAGGCTTGGCCCTGGTAGAGTCAATCCTACATGGTATCAGAATGCTGGGTAATGATATTTGCCAAGCCTAAAGCAGGTAATTGTGGCAATCAGTCTTAAAGAATATCAGGCAGATTGTAGGGCTCTCAATTAGATTCCAGCAGAGACCATTTGAGATCCGAGGCAGGTCACTGTTTGATGAATAATTAAGGGACATCATGGAGTAGTTCATCTTCCAAATAAGAAATGAACATAATTTTATCTGAAAAACCTGTTTTTGTTATTTTACATATTGTTATAGTTTAATGCAGCTTTTATTTATTTCATTTTTGGTTTTTTTGAGTACTTGTCACTGAAATAAAATGGATGGATGAATGTTGTTTTGTGCCATATATGCACTACATACCTATTCTACTTCACATTGCAGCCTACAGCAATAATGCATTCCGTTAGGAACACGATACACATGCAGCCAGGTCCAAACTGTCAGCTGATCTTTTGTGATAGCCCATATTTGATCCCACTCCTGCAATACAGTGACAGACAGGGGCTTATACCATAACTCACAGATATCCATGTTTCTTCCCGGCTTGTTGGTTGTTCTCTAATAATCTGCTACCAGCAAATTTTCTTATCACAAGACCAAGAGACTTTTCTCTTGTATAAAGATAAGTGCACTCATACTGTGAGCATAGCAGTTTTGCTGTCCTTCACTTTGATATACAATAAAGGTTGTTTTCTTAAAGCACATAGAACCATACCGGCAATGTGAACAACATATAAATGCACTTACTTCACAGAAGCCAATGTGAACACCCAATTTGTAAAATCTGTTTTTATAAAATGTAGTGAGTTCTTCCAAGCAAGGGATTCCACCCTTCTACCCCAGAATGACATATAAAGCCTGTATGGGTATCAAAGGTTATCACAACCAGCAGAAGGTGTGGACCCACCATAATAACAGTGATGGGTTTGTCTGGTCCAGATATGACTATTGACAGATCACCATCAAAAACCTAAAACATGTGCTGAGTGGGGCATTAAACAACTTCTCGGTAGTTATAAGGTGGAGGTCTGTGTGACAGAGATACCTGCAGGGAGTGTTGGAAGTACAAAATTACTGGGATCTACATACAATGAATCCAAGATGAGAACTGTCAATGTACTGCTACTATACAGCCCAAAAAGATTAGAAGTCAACTTAAAATGTGGTCATCCAATAAAATTGACAAATAAACCGGTGCCAGTTTAATTCCCAGTCACCATATTTGTGAAACAATTATGTTCATGATATCCAGCCGCATGTGATAGCAACCATTCTGGTTGTAATAATATAAAACAAATCACATGTAGTGCAAATCACATGTAGTGCAAATAAAATCACAGCAGCAAGAAAAGTAAGTTTGCATTAATCAATTTATTTATCACCTCATCTTTCTTGTGACAGGCAGGTAAGTGAGCCAGTGGAACTTTTTTGAACTGACCACATGTTAATGCAGTAGCTTCAACAGTGGCCTTCTGTGTTCAACCTTTGTTATTTGAGTTGCATAATTACAGTATAAAAGAATTCCTTCGTATGGTTCATATACAAAATATTTTCTAGTCAAATCTGTGTTTGTGTCTCTTTTACATCTTTGGAAAATGTGTAATTGAACATGTATCTAAGATTCATATTACTGTTTGTAGGAAAATTGAAAATTGATGTTTAAGTTAAATTTTATTTTTGATGGTGAGTATTGTTTTGGGTTTTATTTGTGCAAATTGAATTTTGTTATGTTGATGGAGCATGTTTTTAGAATTTAACGTATCAATTGCATACCTTAAAGAGTTTAATATCTAGGAAATATAATCTGCTTCAAGGATCCAGCCATCTCAGATATAATGAATGTGGGCTCTCTTTTTTATAAATTGGTAACGGAAGCAGAAAGCAAAGGTTTGACAAGTACTAATAACCTTTTGACCTGAATTGAAAGAATTTCCTTGCTGTGACAAGATATGATTGGTGTCAGTGGGTGGTTTTGTTTGGCATGTCTGTGACTGCTTCTTATGCATATCAATATATCCTCACACACAACCAGTGAAGGAAATCTCCCAAGGGGGCCTAAACTCATCACAATTTTTATGTGTCTATTTAATCAGGCAAACAACACTGTTCAATATAGATGTGGTCAAACCGAAAATTGGATCAATTTGTTAGTGGAACCCTGTGTAAGGAAACTGCATTTTTTGTGGGAATTTGCAATTCAGTTTCAGACACATCTAGTGAATGTCGGTTTTGATGCAGACATGTCTGTCACTGATTAATTGGCTAATCTTGGAGGAGGAGAGGTGATTGTGTAAGAGATTTGCTATCTGGCTCAGTCTAGGAGGCAAACACTGGTACATGTATATAGAAACAGTCTGGTCCATACGCTCTCTCAGCCTTGACTGTTGTCTCCCCTCAGTGTAATTTATAGCCTGGAAAGTTGTTTGGTTCTAGATAATATTCTTTATTTCAACTCTTAGGGTCTTATTTTACATTACAATTTACAAATTGGCAAAGATATTTGTTAAAGCTTTGGCTTGTCAGCTCAAGTAACTGGTGTCAGTGTGTACCACTAACATAATGAACCACTTCCATAGCAGCTATTACAGAGCTTCATTTTAAATCCTTATCTCAATAATCAAAGCTTGGTAATATTTGTAAAGCATTTTCAAAATTTGCAAGTATTGTATAAATCTGTTTGTATGCTTCCTCAACTGTAAGATTTCAATCCACTGTTTGTAATGCTTTGTATGCTTTTAGAATTACTTCTTGGAAAAAAGGAGGTATATTATCTGAGTTGATAGGGGAATGTGTATTTTGGGGCTGGTTTTAGAGGTTTTGTTTTGATTTTGTTTTATTATTGGCAAGGAGGAGTTTTTAAGAAGGGAACATTTGTAGTCTTGTATATGTGTCAACTGTAAAACATACTATTTCCTTGTTTATACAAGAACAATGTACAATACAATTTGCATTATTGGATTTTGTCCTCTTATAATAGATGGGCACATGAGGGTTTATCGCTCTCACTTTTCTCACCCATAAAAGTGCTCAATTCTAGATGTTTCCAGTTGTTGATGGATTTTGTTATCCCCTGCAACGCGTTTTGCAGGGGTATTAAAATGGACTCCGTGCGTCCGTCCGCGCGTCCGTGCACATTTGACTTTTCCGAAGCATAACTCTAAAACCGTTCAATGTTTCTTCCCCAAACTTGACACATAGATAGATCTGGTGGTGAACTGGTGCCTTTTGGCAGTTTTGGATTTCTGAATAAAGTGTTTTTGGCATTTCCATGGCAACAAATTTCACTTTGACTGAAATTGGTGGTAGTACTTTTTTCCGGAGCAGAGCTTAAAAACTGTTCACTGTTTCATCACCAAATTTCATACATAGGTAGGTCTTTGAAACTTTTCAGTACTCTCCTTCCACTTAGCTTATATACACGCCAAAACATTTGACATCATCATAACTCGTAGACATATTCATGAAGAGTATTTTGCCATTGAGGGGGATATTGATGACTTTGTCTTCTTGTTCATAAATTTCTTTTTCTTTTTTCAACAGAGCAAAGAATTTTGAGAAGGGCTCAGAATACAACAAGACATGGAAGGCATCTGAGGATGGCCCCACCAACACAAACGGCCCGAGACTTATTGTTGACTCTGGTGGTTCAGGACCTACAGGAGGCTACATCACAAAGTGAGTACATGCAAGGCTACCAGTAATTTGGGTCACTTTTCACAAACAGATCTAATTAAAATTGTTATAATTCAAATACATTAACATAAGTACTGTGCACGTATCACTGTCTATTTGGTGTACCCACTATAATGTTGCTTCAAGAATGAAAAGCCATTGTGGGCATTTCAGATTCAGTGTTTGATAGATTTTTCTTGAACTGCTTCAGCTTTCTTGAAAAACAAACTGATTATCCATTACAGGGGTAGTATGGATTCTCTGCTTTTATATATATGATATTCTGCCTTTGATCATATGCTTGATCCATTAATTTCAAATCTGAAGCTTTTGGCTCTGTACCTCAAAACAATGTTTGTACTGATGCTGTTTTAGATCCTAACAGAGATTTTTAAGGCAAAGCATGGACTGGCAACCATCATACATCTGTGATTGTCCCCCGACGCAGCGCGGAACGGGGGACTATGTATTCAGCAGCGTCCGTACGTATGTACGTCCCGATTCTTGTTAACGCGATATCTCATGAACTGTTGTACCCAATGTCTTCAAATTTGGTGTCAGCCTACATTGGGGGATTACGCAGACGCCTGTCGATTTGCGTGACCTTGACCTTATTTTCAAGGTCACCACGACACTTTGACCACTTTTCCAACTCTTGTTCACGCGATATCTCATGAACTGTTGTACCCAATGTCTTCAAATTTGGTGACAGCCTACATTGGGGGATTACGCAGACACCAGTTTATTTGGGTGACCTTGACCTTATCTTCAAGGTCACCACGACACTTTTCACACTTTTAACTCTTGTTAACGCGATATCTCATGAAATGTTGTACCCAATGTCTTCAAATTTGGTGACAGCATACATTGGAGTATTACGCAGACACCAGTCGATTTGCGTGACCTTCACCTTATTTTCAAGGTCACCACGACACTTTGACCACTTTTCCAACTCTTGTTCACGCGATATCTCATGAACTGGTGTACTCAGTGTCTTCAAATTTGGTGACAGCCTACATTAGGGGATTACACAGACACCAGTCGAGTTGGGTGACCTTGACCTTATCTTCAAGGTCACCACGATACTTTGACCGCTTTTTAAAGCGGATATCTCATAAAACATTGCACCCAATGTTTCAAGTATGTTGACAGCCTACATTGGGTGATTATACAGACACCAGGCATTTCAGGCATTTTGTATGTGACCCCAAAATAAAAAGTAGTAAATATAGATATTCCATTCTTTAGCGGTGGGGGACATTGCCATATCAGTGGCAAACACTTGTCTTATTTAAGATCATGTTCCATCTCAATCTTTGATCCAGCAGCCAACATTTGTTGTCTATACCATAATCCCACTTCAGCTGCTAATAGCTTGTCCAGTACTTTAGAATTCCCTTCCAGACAACCTCAGAAACATTCAGGAACTAGGGCTTGAAAACACATTTCTTCAGATTAGCATACAACTGTATACCCTTTGTCACAGCAGACTTTCATAAACTGGAAACAGGCGCTATGTAACGGGTGACTATGTATTCAACTACGTCTGTATTTACGTCCCAATTCTTGTTAACGCGATATGTCATGAACTGTTGTACCCAAATGTCTTCAAATTTGGTGACAACCTACATTGGGGGATTACCCGCACACCAGTCGATTTGGGTGACCTTGACCTTATTTTCAAGGTCACCACGACACTTTGACCACTTTTCAAATTTATGTAAACGCGATATCTCATAGAACATTGCACCCAATGTCTTCAATTATGTCGACAGCCTACATTGGGTGATTATGCAGACACCAGTGATTTCAGGCATCTTGTATTTGACCAAAAAATAAAAAATAGTAAATATGTTATAAATATTCCATTCTTTAGCGGCGGGGGACATTGGCATACTAGTGGCAAACACTTGTTATTATTATCTAATGCATAGTTACCGTTCTTGGTCACTGTGAAACAAGGAGTGGCTGCAAACTTCTGAGCCAAACCAATGACCATAGTCACATGACACTAAATGGCAGTTTTATGCCAAACTGCGAGATTTGTTGAGTTACATGCGAGGGTTCTGTTAAAACCCTTTACATATTTATAAACTCTTGAGTTTGTTAATTTTCTTGATTTGTTAGAGTGCATTAAATACATATAACTAACTGTGTATACATAAGCATTCAACACCGCAGTCCCCAAAAAACAGCCATGAGTCGTCATGAGTTGTCATGACCAATTTTCAGGGCTGGGCCAGGCCGGAGTCACGTCAAAATGATGCATAATTTTAGGAACCTACCTGACATAAGATTCATTTATTAAAACTGTCCCTTTCACAATGTCTGAAAACATGACAACTATTTTCCGCAATGTTTTTTTTGTTTTGTTTTTAAATTCTCAGACAGGTCCACTTCTAAAATGTCAAAGAGCAAAAAATACAATTTTGAGAAAATCTTTGAATACATTGAATAAATCAAGAAATTCAATCAACCATGATCAGTCTATCATTTATCATAACCCTTTTGTTTATACTACAGGCATCACTCTGTTAAAGGGCAAGTTTACACGAAAATTAACCATTTTGTCTTGCACTTTTTCATCATAAAAAGTGTTTGTCAAGTTGTTTTATAGCCAAAACAGTACAGATATCAGAAGTAACTAATTTATTTTTTGCGTTATATCGATTCAAATTTTTCTCATTAACTGAGCGTTCTATGTCCACAATAAACACACCATGGCTTATGTCCCTTGGAAATGACGTCATTGGTGCCAGACCGATAAACGAATGACGTTGTTAGACCCATTTCACGTGGTGCAGGTATAGGTGTGGTTCTCCTGTCTCGATGCGCAGGTTACTGTTTTAATCCAGCTGTTGCCTGGCCGTCAGCTGGCTATGTGTTCAGATCCACACAGTGATGACGTTGCAGTTTGAAAAAACATATACGTTGTACAAACAGTATTACCACGTAACCAAATTGTACAACATTCAACCTGAGTCGGTCGTCTTTCAACAGTATCGTTTTTCACAAAAACTAAAATATTTATGCACTACATCTAGCTTGCCGTCAGTGAATGTGTCGGCATTCTATGTTTGTTACTTAATTCCTACATAAATCGTACAATATGTGCCCCACCTCTTCCACTCTTCCCACCTATCGATACCATATCCAAATACATCACGAAGAAAAATGCAGTTTTTAAATTGGCAGTTTTTAATTCGGTTTGAAATTCGGTTTTCTATGATATCATCCGCTCATTGTAAGGCAAATATACTGAAAATTACATCTGCCCAGTTTTGACACATTGCGAAATACACACAGTTAACGTCAAGGTGAATATTTTCAGCCATATTGCAGAGTGTGTATAAAATCACGTCACAGATACTCTTACACGAATCCCTGAATTCCTCCTACTGTTCAAAATAAAATGACAAATGGTCTTTGTCACCAATACCAAGTGTTTCAGTGAAATCTAACGAAATATATCAGATGCCACTCTGGGAAAGGACCACTTGTGTGAAATGTAAACAAATTCGAATTCAGATTTCACTCTGTGTATCTGTTCGCCTACTTTTGTTCAACACACTTGCTCATTAGTTTTAGACCATGCATGGGAAAGGTATTGTAGCAAGCGATAGTTAAATAAAATAGGTGTATTCCAATGATTTCCGAGATTCATCGTGACGCCATGACTGATGAAAAATTCATGCACACCAACGATGGAAGCTCTCCTCATTTCTGACTATTTCCCTTGGTCACAATGAAAACAAAAAGAAAATAAGAACCAGCAGATTGTCAGAATGTTTTGGACTACATACATGTCACATTTATGTATATACGTTGCTTGAAACAACGAAATTTCCCGTCGAAAAACCGGTACTCGTGTCAGTGAACACGCCATTTTGAGAATGTCGCTTCCCGATAGTGATGTCATACGTACGTCGACATTGTTACACATATTTGGTATTTTCAATGACGTGAGGTTATGAATGAAAATACACACGTTCTGCTGCTTACATTTTCAGTTCTTATGCTTCTTTCGTATTTTCACAAACTTTTCTCACGTGATTAATTTCAGTATTATTATCTTTTGATTTGGAACTAGACAGGAGACCAGTCTAAAATCAAGTGGCACCAATTACGTCATAATCAAAGGGCGGTAACTCTGGCCTGTTTAGCTCGACAAACAAGGACCGCATGGTGGCATAACATTTCAGCACTTATTTTGAGGGTTATACCTTCATTGTAAGAAAAATGAGTGTATAATTTCAAACACTGATATTAAATAATTAAAATATTTCATTTTGTTTCACATAAGAATAAATGTGATTTTATTGTGTACACTTCACCTTTAAGCCCTAATCCAAACAACTTTAAAGACACTTCCTTATATATGTAGAGGGGCGGTGGGGTAGCCTAGTATAAAGCGTTGGCTCGTCGCCGAAGACCTCGGTTGTAGATATGCCTCTCAATCCAAACTCTGTACAACACTTACTTGATAACGGTGTTGCAATAAAGAAGTTGTTCGTCCATATATTCTTACCCTTCCTTACCATTGCAATGTATTGTACATAGGCTTCTTATAGTTTTCCTTGGATCTAACATGTTTAAACATTCTTTAGGAAAGTACTTTTTCCAGTTAGTGTACAAAATGTTGTAATAAACTTCTCAGAACTGCTTTGACTGTTAAATGATCCCAAATACTTTCTGCCTTTCAAAAAGAAGCTGATATGCATCATTCTCATTTATGCTAAGTCCTGTTGATAGCTCAATTTGTCAACTATTATTAATTTCAATATATTCTTTCAAGTATTAAGACGTATGTCACAGCATAGAGTAATTTGATACAAGTCATCTTGACCATGCGGCTTGTCTTACATTGGCATATGGCCAGTTCATGTAACACACAAACGCCAGTACATTTCACCACAAGAACAGTGAAATCATCAAATATTTATTATTGCAACTTTTTTTGCATGAAGTCTGGATGAAGACCTTTGAAAATTTGCTGCAACCAT